TAACATCGATTTACCTGATAACTATCTTAACCAGTTCCTAAAATCGTTAACACTCCCAGTCCCCAGTCTTTACCGTTGGTTACGTGTGTCGTTTCCCTTCTTCCGGAGCTTTCCCAATCACGGTATTTTGTTTACATACATTTAAAAAAAAGGAAAACGAATCCTCGAATATCCATCCCCACATCCTATGGCTGAGCTTACACACGGCGTGCTATGGTAAGTGTGGCGAAAGTGGTTACTCGCTGTAGTGCTCCTCGGCTGCCACACCACATCATACGCTTTGTGACTGCTAGATCAACATTTCTAACGCGTCAGTGGTTCGTCCTCTGAACCTCACTCTGCAGCGATGCCGTGTTCCCACAAGACGGGGTCATTCACCGCTAACAAGCCAGTTGGTCTCTCTGGCTTGCTCGTTTCAGTCATCAGCGGCTCTTCTATCTCCCAACCACATTTTAAACCACTCTCAAACATCAGAAACAAAGCATTGAATGTCTCTCTTTCACTTATCTCAAAATCAATGGGGTTTCTTTTCACATGACAACCACGTTTCCTACAACTTACGCCAAAGCAACGGAACAAGAACAATTTCATCTTAACCTGCTCGGTTTAGACTTCCAGTGCCAGTATTTTTTTCTAAGGAGCTCTCTTGAATAATATTTACGTTAATTGCGGAATTCGAGATGTCTATCACGTGGTCATTTCCCTCGTGCAGTGACAAGGACACGTACCGAACGTTTCCTCGCCTCGCCTTTTTGACGAGTAGCAGTTCAGGGATTCCTGCTCCGGCGAATCTCTTCCAGTCTTCCCTTCTTCCCCATTTCTTTACTCTACTTTAAAGCCATTCAACCACGAGAGATGAAATACGGAATCAACCATCATTGCCTTTGACATCATGAATGGAAACCGAAGCATTTGCGACAAATATAAATATATCTTAATCTATTATTACTCTTACCTTGTTCCAAAACTGGTAGTTCAACGGACTTAGTTGTGAGTGAGCATAAATACAGCGTTTTCTTCACTTGATACATGAAAAAATAATGTCCGTTATTTCATGAACACTCAGTTCTCTTATAATTTTCAAACGAACATATCGGCCAGGTTGATCTGGAAGCGATGATTGGGATTCACTGTTAAAACTTACTTTGTTCATTAGTGTTCGCGTTCACAAATGGAAATCTCATTGCTTGTCTTTTGATGTAATATGGCATTGTTTCTTTTAACATTTGTTTTGTTGGCAGTATTCGCCAAGCTGTTTGCAGCTAAATAACAATACTCCAACAGAAATGTGAAATAATTATAGTCATGGATGAATTCTTACCCGTGCTTCTTTCTGTCTTAATTATGTTCAGAATAATCAGATACGTTACAGCTTTCCTGACCATTTGAAAGTGTGATCAGGTAAAATTTTTAATTTCTGCACAAATACTTCAAATTTGCATCCATTATCATTGCCTTTAATGCGCCTGCTGTTTGTGAGTTCATGTGAAGCTGATTTGTTTTTGAAGAATAAGTTCACAATGTGACATGACTTACGTTCTTTCTGATGAGCACCCTGTGTAAAGTATTGCTGACTGTGTATGCAAAAATACGGTGACATTACACATTAATCATATTTACCCTTTATATGATAATCATGAAGAGCCTTTGTTTCAGAGATTTTGTACATGAGAGTTGTATCGAGACGAAGGTACTTCTTCTGAAACTGGGACCGATTCAAGTGTGAATCCCCGTGACCTCGCTCCTTCGTCCCCCCAACACCGAGTTCCCAAAACCTGACCGCGATGCCCTGTTTTCTCCACCATATATACTCGCCGCGGTTATCCCAGGAGTCACAGCATTGTTAAGCTTTCCTCGAAGAGCAACTGGAAGCCCATTCTGATTCCTCCCAAATACCGTGATGGATGAGCTTGTTTACATTGCCTTGTTAGCTGTGATGATGACGGCGACTTTGCTAAGCTTCCTGGCTTGTTTATATCAGTGTAGAAAGGTAAGTTTTTTCCAGCAATATCTGACGTTCAAAACATTGTTCAATCAATTAGTGGATTTTCTTTTAAAATATCTTATATTATAATAATAATAAGAAAATTGATTAATAATGTAACATTTTCAGCGTCGTGTGGCAGTGAAGCATCCCTTGTACCCGCACGTGGTCGTGACGCCGCGATTCCACGAGACGGACACCTTCTCTCTGGTCTCCACCTCCTTCTGTCCGATGACCCCCGTCCCCCGGCCAGTCCCTCTCTCTGCCTTCCCTCGCCCACTGGAAGACGCCTCCCCCAACACCTCCTTCGTTTCCCTTGCGGCTTCTCAGTATTTCCCCATCTTTAAACCTCTGAAGCACCAGAGACGGAGCGGGGAGTGCAGCGTCCCGAGTGAAATGAGCTTCAGGAGCGACGCAATGTCCGCACACAAAGCTGGTAGCACTTTCCCTACGCCTTACGCCACTCCTCTGGTGCGGCCGTATCTCGTGGTTCCTGTGCCGGTTCGGAAACTGTAAGATTTCACTTGTACAATAAAAAAACATTTAAATATATTATTTTTTAATCCATATGATTGATGTAACTGGTGGTTTCACAACTATGCAGGAGTAAAGAAAGAAGAGGTGAGATGTGATGAAACAGTATATGTAGCCTTTTCTGTTATCAAATGAGTTGTCCAATATATGTAATAAAGATCATTGCTAAAATTTTCTTATATGTATTTAATAAAAGGAATGTCAGGGTTCGCAGATTTCACGAAATGTAAAACGCTGCTTCACAAAGATACCCTTATCCCTTCTTTTATTCATACTTCATTCATTTATATTTTTCTGATTTAATATCAGTTACAGCAGCCCTATCAGTGAAAATACGCCTGCTTTAACAAATTTCGTAAACAACAAACATCATTGTGGCTAGTTTCATTTTCAATAACAAACATCTAGTTTCTAATTGGCATATGCAGCACATTATTTACTCAAATACATTAAACATGGTACATCTTTCAGTGAAACGAAGAACCGGAAGACAAGATTGTAGGTGTAGGTGTTCAATAATGTTCAATAAACACAGTGACAGAATCATTTATTTACGTCTCGTGAAAGAATCTTTAACCAGGATACCTCTCGATCAGTAGATAAAAATGTCACATTAAGATATCAACTACTTACTGTACAAATAAGCCATCAAGAATTTAATGCTCGTTTCCCCTTTATGTAATGGCCGCCCCAGATCAAATTAAAATATCGGAAATATTCACAAAGCTCGAAAACTCTTGTAACTCCAGTGTGCTTCCTTGCTTTACTTTGATTACTATATCAGCTTATCAGTGAATAAACTCTTCATTGTAAAGATCATGAATTTTGCGAAGGATTCAAAGAAAAGGAGAAGCGAAAAAACGTAATAAAAATCTGCGATTGCCCAAATCAATTAAAATTGTTATATTGGTAGCACAACCGCGATGACGCAGCATGACAATGTTTATCATATTATTTACTAAAATGCGTTTGTAAACAGATGTATGAATTTTCGTTAAATCTATCAATGCAAATCTCAGGAGAAAGTTAGCTTCAAATCACATATATTATCTGTAAAAGTGAATCGTACGGTTTCTCACCTGATTCATTGTCACGGCTTCCTTACGGCTTCCTAATGGAATTTATGAATGGCAAATTACCCACTTGTTTAATGGGTCGTTTATGCTGACGCCTTGTATGAGGTCCGGAAACGCACACTCGGGTCACGTGGATTGACGTCACTGATCTTAAAACGATACCAAGATTTTCTGAAAAACATTGCGCCAGATGATGACGTCACACCAAATCTTATTAAGCGTAAAAGTGATTAGATAACGAAGAAATTAGTTAGATTAACGAAACTTGAATGGTACTTTATATAATTTCGAGATACAGTATGGCAAAACTAAGTGAAATTACGATTGCATGTTCATTTAGTGATAGATAGTATCACTCGCACTACTTTCCTCGGCGCTATGTTCTGAGTTGCGCGGTTTGTTTACATTGACTGAACGTTGGCTCCGAGCGATGAGTTTAGGGAATTTTATCCTAAAATTGAAACTAATTATGGCTCTCCAAGCTTTGTATTTGACTTTCTTGATTAGTCTACGTGTAGTTCTTCCATTTTATTAGCAATTTATGTTTGTTTTCTAATATACCTCTAGATTAACCAAACTGAGAGATAGTTAGGAATAGGATAAGAAAAGAGAAAAGAGATAGATAGATAGATAGATAGATAGATAGATAGATAGATAGATAGATAGAGAGAGAGAGAGAGAGAGAGAGAGAGAGAGAGAGAGAGAGAGAGAGAGAAATGGAAGTTAGAGACGTGAAAATCCGCTTTTTTTCAAGAAAAATACGGAAAAAGAAAGAAGATGAAGGAGACAAAGAGTAACCGGGAATTAAAAATAATTCGCATATCTAAGGAATAGAAATTCCTTCACTTTATCTGGATATATTTACAAATAAACTTTAAAGAATATTTGATTTTCTAACGATTTTTCTTTGAAAACTGATCTTAAACCGCTAGTTTGTCTGCATTCCCCGAGCAATAAACCCTTTGTTGCATAAAAAATAACCTCGAACGAAATCACAATATATTCCCTGTGCAATACTGTTGCATAATTCTTTAAACGCGAAAAAAATATATTTATCATATATTTATTGTGCACTACTGTCGCATAATACACCAGACTCGACAAAAATAAGAATAACGAAAATAGAAGATTCCGAATCCTTGTACGAAATCTAATTATCTCTAAACCCGATTTAATTCTCTTTAAACCCGATCTAATTCTCCCTAAACCCGATCTAATTCTCTCTAAACCCGATCTAATCCTCCCTAAACCCGATCTAATTCCCTCTAATCTAAACTAACCCGATCTAATTCTCTAAACCCGATCTAAAAACCCGGATCCCGATAATTCTCCGGAATCGGTCGATCTAACTCTCTCTCGATCTACGATCCCCTCTAAACCCGATCTAATAAAGATCTAACCCTCTCTAAACCCGATCCCTCTTCAAACCAAGAACAAAAGCCTTCAGACACCACCAAGAAGCCTTAACTTATTGCATACCGCAGCCAGCCTTGCAAATTCCGCTGACTCATTGCAATCCCGAGACCATTTGTCTCAATAAAGCTGTCTCTTGTACACAAATCGCCTGGATTAATTGCCGGTGATAAATGTAATTAGCGGTGTCCTGTTTCGCAATTTGTTCATGTTCTGGTACTAGCGTTTTCAGGGGTTATTAGTTGTCTTGTGACATACGTGTTCCTCTCAGCTTTATCTTCATTTTGTTATTATTACTATCTTCGCTTGTTCGTCATTATTCATATGGTAATCATTATCATTCTTATTACTGTTATCAATAATAATAATAGTGATAATAATAACAATGATAATGATACTAATTATTATTATCATCTACTTTGTTATTGTTATCATTATTATTATTATTATTATTGTTGTTATTATATTTATTATTATTATTATTATTATTATTATTATTATTATTATTATTATTATTATTATTATTATTATTATTATTATTATCATTATATTATTATCATATTATTATTATTATTATTATTATATTATTATCATTATTATTATTATTACTATCATCATTATCATGATTTTCATTATCATTATTATTATCATTATTTTTATCATTATTATATATATATCATAATCATTATTATTCATCATTATCTTTACTATTCTTCTTCTTATTATTATTTTATCATTATCATCATTGTTATCATAATTATCATTATTATTATTATTACATTATCATCACTATTATTATTACTATCAATTTTATTACTATGGCTGTTTTTGTTACAACTGTTGTTACTATTACCATGTTATCATGATTATTATCACTATCATTTTTATTGTTACCATTATTATTAACATTAACATTTGTATTATTATTTTTGTAATCATCATTGTGATTGTTATAATTGTTATTATTATTACTTTTATCTTTAACATTATCATAATCTTTGATATCATCATTATTTTCATCATTACTGTCAGCATTATCATCATCATCATCATCATCATTATCATCCTCCTCCTCCCCTCCTCCTCCTCTCCTCCTCCTCCTCCTCATCATCATCATCATCATCATATCATTATCATTATCATTATCATTATCATTATCATTATCATTATCATTATCATTATCATCATCATCATCATCATCATCATCATCATCATCTTCATCATCATCATCATCATCATCATCATCATCATCATCATCATCATCATCATCATCATCATCATCATCATCATCATCATCATCATTATTATTATCATTCTGTTATCAACATTGTAATTGCTACTATTATTACTATCACTAATGACATTAGTAGTAGTAGTAGTAATATTCATTTCATTATAATATATATTTTTCAATTTCATCTCATTCGCTTAAAAAAAATGGCTTGTTTGTCTTTCAAAGCCACTCAACGTATTTACACGCCAAACAAAAAACGAAACGAAACAAAACAGGTCGTTCAAAAAGACAAATTTAATCCGCCAAGCAAACTAATTAAGAAGAAAAAGACGAAGAAAATTATTTGAGAATAAACAAGAGGTGATGATGCCACAAAAGGGAAAATGAATCACAGTGTTCTGAAGGAGACCAAACAAGCTGAAGTAAATAAGCAAAGCAAACTAAAACTTGGAAAAAAAAGAAAAATGGAAACAGAAATACGAAATAAAAATATATTGTAAAATACACAAAGTGGTGTTGCTATAAAAGGGAAGATTATATCACAATTTTTTTGAATGAGAACCCCCTGCCCCCCATACAAAACAAAAAGACGGGAAAGGAAGATAGATGGAAAGAAAAGAAAAGAAAAAGAGAGAAAAGAAAGAAAAAGAAAAGAAAAAGAGAGAAAGAAAGAAAGAAAAGAAAAGAAAAGAGAGAAAAGAAAGAAAGAAAAAAAGAAAAAGAGAGAAAAAGAAAGAAAGAAAGAAAAGAAAGAGAAAAAAAAGAAGAAAAAAAGAAAAGAGAGAAAAGGAAGGAATGAAGAAATTAAAAAAAAGAAGGAAAGAAAGACAGAAAAAAGAATGAAAAAGAAAAAGAAAAAATAAGAAAAAAATAATAAAACAAACTGAATAAACTAGAAGCCCAGAGAGCGCATACCTCCGCCAAAGCAACAGGGTCACCGATAAAAAAAAAAAAAAATCCTAGATCCGCATCTATATCCGGATCACCACCAAAATCCAATAGCACCTAAACAAGGCTAAGACACAGCTCTGCTAAAATTTCATAAACAATCTGTCCATAACTTTTCGAGTTTTCCTACTACCTCCCTCCCCCCCCCAAAAAAAAAAAATATATATATATATAAAATAAATAAATAAAAATAATAATGAAAAAAAAATAATAAAAAACAAGAAATAAGGATAAAGAAACAGACAAAAAAGAAAAAAGAAAAAACATAACCTCCTTGACACAGGTAATACAGAAAAGACGTGTGTCATGTC